CAAAAACCGACTTGCGCCAAATTTGCTTATGTGATGTTTGAATAAAACAATAGGGTTTTGGGTATTAATTCGGTCTTTGCGGCAGATCCAAATAACATCCATAAGTGGTGACTTTGCTTCTGCAAAAAGCATATCCAATGCATTTCATTTGATACATTCAATTCATTCTCTCACTCCGTTAATCCCAACGTAATACATGCTGTAGGCATCACTTTGGTGAAAGTCGATTTTTGCACTCTCGCAAACGATGCCCCCTGTTCATCCAAGCGTGAACACATACCACACATATAATATATGTATCATATTATCATACCAAATGATTTGGGATAAAACACTCTTTCATATGATGTATAATAATTTACTGTTCATAGATGATTTTTAAAATAATTAGCAATTTTCTAGGTGTAAACTTTTTTTTTTACTCACACGGTATAGAGGGTGCAAGTAGCTATAAGTAGTGCAATGGGGCTTTAAATGACACTTACATTCAACTTTTAAAGAAAAACAAACCTCTCTATTTTTGAAACTGTATCCTATATGAGGATGTATGCCTGTATGTACATTTTCTCATCCGTAAGATGATAATGGTTGTTATTTTTCTGACCTATTTATAGATAACCTGTGTCCACATGTGAGTTAGAAATGTTACTCACGGAATTCTTGGAATTGTCTTGGCAGTGATTCAAACATTAAGAAAGGAAACTGTGTTCTCAAATCTAAACTTGATTAAACATTCTGAAAGTAATGTACCGGCGACAGCCTTGATCGGCCTTTTTCTGTGAAAGAATTTTATTTTTGTTAAATGTTGAACGATTTGAAAGAGCATTTCAAGAGCAAATCTTCACATGTTGGAAGTCGTTTCACATTGGAATGAAAAACAAAAAAACGAGATTACCTATTTAACTTAATTAATTTCAGCTTTAGGTCTACTTTTTCCCCTAGGCCACTTTTTTCTTTCTGAACTTTAAGATCCCCCAACCCAATCTAAAATACAGGTGATCCAACATTTTGTCCAGGTATTACTCCGGGCTCTATTCGTCAAATAGGCCTATATAGGTTTAGGGATAAGGGCTGCAATAGAGGTTTAGAGATAGGATAACAATTGGGTTGGATGTTAGGTTTAGGGTTGGGATTAAGGTATTATATATGTACATTTGGTCTAGGTTAATGTTAGCAATGCGGTTAGTATAGGAAACTGGTCGCGAAGCGATTCAGCTGTATGAGCACAAAATAAAGCAGGTGGCCTAAAACCGCACTTTTACTTCTAAAATCGAAACAGAAGGTCACAAGATTTGGATCAAGGGAAAACGAAAAGTTTTCGTTTCCTTTCATTGTCTCTATTCTACCATACGTCACCAGCAATGTGTTGATCGAATGTAGGCCTCCCCCCCCCCCCCCCCCCACCCTTCTCTCTCTCTCTCTCTCTCTTCTTAGAGTTCATGTTTAATACCACGGAAGCGAGTATCAGATACCGAAATCCTCTGAATTGTTGTTCACAAGCAGAAACTCGGAATGGGAGAGTTGAAAGAAATGTACTATTTTCGAGACGAATGAGTGAAAACAAACTTTAAAAATATGGCATGGATGAAAAGAGTGATTTATGAAAAGACGGGGATATCTGAAAAGAATCATAGAGAGATTAAAAAAAAATGTTTTTCGAAGGGTTGAGAAATATGATAAAAATGGAATAGAGAGAAATAAAAAAACAACGATACTATATTGATTATTACGAAATGGAGAAATAGGAAAAGGTTGTAATCGGAGAGAAGAGATTAAGAGAGGGAGGACATGATGAATAGAGAGATGGTCAAAAGAAACAAAAAGGGAGCGATGAAAGAAAGCAGAGACACTTTACGAGAGACAGGAAGAGATAAGAGCAGGCGCGTAGCCAGGGGGCGGTGGGGCGGTCGCCCCCCCCCCAAAAAAAAAAAAAACGCCGGCCCCCCCCCCCCCCAAAAAAAAAAGAGAGAGAAAGAGAAGAAAAAAGTAAAAAGGACGTTGGAAGAAAAAGGAAAAAGGAGTCGAGAACGCTACAACAAATCGTCTTCTTTCTCTAATAATTTAATGAAACGTCAAAGCTTCCGAGCTTCGCGCGGAAAGGGGGAAACTAAATACAGATATGGATTAAGAGTCGGGAAAGGTACAACGAATCGTCTTCTTTGTCTAACAATACGTCAAAGCTTCGCGCAGGAGGAGGGCGAGGGGACTGAATTCAGACAAGGATTAAGAGTCGAGAAATGTACAACCAATCGTCTTCTCCTCTAATAATTTAATGAAACGTCAGAGTTTAGCGCGAGAGGGGAGGGGCGGAATTCAGACAAGGATTAAGAGTCGAGAATGGTACTTTGAGTCGTCTAGCTTTCTCTAATAATGTAATGCAACTTCAAAGTCTCCGCGCTTTGCGCGGGAGAGGAGGAAACTGAATTCAGATAAGGATTAAGAGTCGAGAATGGTACATCGAATCGTCTTCTTTCTCTAATAAATTAATGAAACGTCAAAGCTTCCGCGCTTTGCGCGGGAGGGGGACTGAATACAGATAAGGATTAAGAGTCGGGAAAGGTACAACGAATCGTTTTCTTTGTCTAATAATACGTCAAAGCTTCCGCGCTTCGCGCAGGAGGGGCGGACTGAATTCAGACAAGGATTATGAGTCGAAAAAGGTACAACGAATCGTCTTCTTTCAAAGCTTCCGAGCTTCGCGCGGGAGGGGAAACTCCCCCCTTCCTGCATCCATCCCCCCCCCCCTAGGGAGCGCGCTTCGCGTGCTCACTACCGCCCCCCCCCCCTAAAATCAAATCCTGGCTATGCGCTTGGATAAGAGAGTTAGACGAGTTACTGCACGGATACACTGGTGGTATATTAGCGAAGGCTCTTGACTCTCGCCCGAGAAGCCCTGGGTTCGATCGTCGTTCCGTGATCACACCATTAATCGAATTAGACTAACCTTCGCAATAATGACCCCATTATTCTATAGGCCCATCCTATCTCAGACAAAATATAACTCTAGTTCATTTTCTGAATTATGACCTTCGGAAAAAAACGAACCTTCTGGAGTACGTCGAGTGCCCCCTACTTTTCATCGGCTATGTCGGCAGAAAGGTATAGCTGCAGACACAATAACAACGGTTTCCTGCCAGCCTTGTAATGCTTATGTGAAAGTCTGTATGTAGGGGATGTAGGCCGGATTCAGAGGGGGTCATGGGGTCTGAACCCCTCGTTCTGTCCTCTTTTTTTCCTTTTGGAGTGAATAAAAAGGACCCCCAAATCAAAGCAGTATTTTGTTCTCGTATATCGCATAACTAATTATGATAGAACGTCACTATATAATATCTCATATGCGATTACAGAGGTATTTGGGAAATTGTTACCCCGGCTTTAACTCTGGCAACCGTATAGTGTCATTGCATAATGAATACATCCTACTAGGTACCCACTTACTACACGTGGGTCTAGTGTGGCAAATGTAGATTATTGTCTTGCCAAAGGACGTTGATGCTCCGGCAGGGATTCGAACCCCCTACCTTGTGGTTCACAGGCTTATCCACGAGACCACAAGACCTGTGATGCAACGGTTTTTCTCAATGCTTCTTTGCTTGTCAAAAATTTGTCGAGTCGTGACCTCCTTTTTACAAAGTCCAGTATCTGCCCCCGATCCAGTAAAAACAGCACTTCTCTCATTGACCATAGCTCAATTGCCCTTTCATCAATATTGTCTTTAATTCCTACATGGATAGATGCATCTAGATCAAATCAACAATACTAGTTGTGTGTTATTGATTTACAGATTAGTCTAAAGAGAACAAGGTCGATTTAGTTAGATTCTTTGTTTATTAACAGAATGATAATAGTCAAAGATTATCCTACAAGGTTTTCGCAATTAGCCATATTCTAATCGGAATTCCTTCTCTTTTCTGAATAAATTTATTTGTTTTATTACATTTAGTAACAAACATCATCAAATTATCATGGATAGGAAGGAGAGTTTAGTACATTCACCTATTGGTTAATCTTTTTATTTTTAGCGGTTATTGTTTTGGGCAAGGATTAATTAATTTATGACCATAATACATGTAAAATGTTTATATCATTTGACATTTACGTATAGGTTAATGTCCCCTTATTGGCGTTAGATAAAACGGATAAAAATAACGACCGTAATGCATTACTGCCAATAGATAAACAGTTTATCACGCTTTAATATACCTCCTGAATAAGGAACGAGTTTACGTTCCGAATAGACAAACAATAAACTGTTTATCAATTGGCCATAATGCATTACGTTCCTCATTTTTTCTGTGTCATTTATACGCTTATATGATAACGCTATTTTTTATGTTTTTGAGCAGACGATATTTAATGAACACAATAATAATGTATCTGAATTATACACGAGAATCTTTTATTTCCATTCCTTTGATTACAGCCTCGTGATCTATAGGATTTCGAGGTTGCACATGAAAAAGTAGGCATGTTGATTTTGTTTGTCTGTGCATTACCTCGCCCCTATCTCTCCACCCCCAGTGATCGACTATCGATGACTATATGCCCCTGTCCTTTTTCCATGTGAAGGTCTAAATAGGGCGCACCAAAAGATTTGCGATCAGCCTAAAATCAACACCTTTTGAGCCTATAGACAGGAAAAAGGAATGTTTTCCCGGTGTAAGCTATGGTAATAACCAAAGAGATTCGATCATACACGTATGTCCTCCGTAGGAGGACTAGAGGGCCAACTAAAATCGTGACCTTTGACATTTCATAGGTTTTGCATTGGATGCATTATGGGGGTTTTGTCCGATTTGAACGACGGTTTTGGAGGGTCAATGAATATTCATGAGCAATGACGTAAAAAATACGCCAACTACTGTTTGTTGATTGGCCATCGACAAATGTTTTATGTATTAGGTCATGCATAAAACATTTTTTGCATTCCCAGAATTCCCTACGATTTGAGCAAGAAAATGATGAAAAATGGCGGTTGTATGAACTGCAACTTTGAAGTTTTTCAATTACGAACAATGAAACATTTTTCTTGTAAGTGAATTTCTATTATAATAGAAGTTTGTCAAATACATCTCAGTTGAGCAGAAAATCTTCAGGCGAACATCGACATCAAAGTGATACCATACGGATACCAAAAAAGTAAGTAAAGATAAATTTTGTGTGAAGATATCTGAAATGATTGTGTTGTGTTCGTCATTGCAGTGAGGGGCTCTCCGCATTGTTATTACTGATTAAATGAACTCTAATTTAAGTCGTCGACGGTAATATTTTTAGAAATAATCAGGAGTTTACCGTAGGTTATTTCATCACAGCACATCTCGTAATTTTAAGTTTAGTTCATAGCTTGATTACCGATAGTAATCGGTAGTAGATGTAGACCTGTTGTAGACTGCGCAAATCATGAAATGGCTCATTGCTAGTCCAAGCCGATGAGATTTCGTGGAGCGGTTTATGATTTTCAATTCGCCGGTGCTAGCCGGCTGTAACACTCCACCAATATTAGCGACTGCGTTTCCTGAGCTGGCGCGGCTATAACGGGCTACACTTTAGTGTTACTGTAAAGCCTAGGCTAGTATTCATAGCATAGAGTCTAGCCTGAATTTTCGGTCTCTTTCGTTCGTTAGCCTCTGATTTGGGTAGAGTCGGCTCCTCTCTTTAGCCAACCCTACCCAAATCAGAGGCTAACGAACGAAAGGGACAGAAAATTCGGCCAGTATAAGGGCAAGGCGTAGCCCTGGCCTAGGCTAGGGTCTAGTCTAGATCTAGTTATGCTGTTGCTAGTGTGGCATTATGTATCCAGGTCCAGCTTAGTTTGGATGTAGGCTAGATAGACTAGACTCTATATCAACAACAACAAAACAAAACAAAAAGGGTGTCCCTATCTAGCTTCCTAATTTTACCCCCACCCCCACCCCCACTCCTCTTTTTTCTTCATTGTGCTCTAACTTCTAAGTTATGGCACTGTGCCTTGTTTGAAATATTTAGAGGAAAATGACATGTTTAGAGAGAAAATAGGTTTATATTATTTACGTATATTTACCTTGTTTACAGTAAAGTTTCAGGACTATTTGCTACCCCCTTTTTATTTGGGTATTTCTAACTCTAGTCTAAAGGACATGAACCAAGTTATAAACTGATAACTAATGCAAGCATTTGATACTATTACTTGCACGAACCTTACTAAGTTTCTGTTTTCTTTTAATTGTAGATCCTATGCAACCAAAAAGCAGATAATGACCACAGATGTGCAACAGAGACTACCAGTACCTGATCATCATATGTTATGGTGTAGATCTCAGGAACAGGACACCTAAGTTGAACTCTGGCAAGGTATGTTTGTATAAAGTTCGAAAATATTCAGGCTGTATAATCTAAGGCTAAGCCCATGCCAACATCGCACTCATCTTGGACTAATCACCAATTACCATCTTAATTATAATGTTGCATTATATCTTGTAATTCTCATTTATTCTCTAGCTTTATTTAGGTGACAAACTACGGTGTTGCTTAATAAACAAATCACTTTATTCCCTCAGCATGATATTACAATACGTACTCAAAGTTTTTTTTTTCTTCTTCAATATTACATATCTATCAAATTTTTTCTCACAAAATCAGACAACAGTAGATACTCCTATGTTTATAAACAACTTAAAATTATTCAATAGACTTCTACCTCTACATGTACTGCCTGTTGTATGTAGCAAATGTTTCACAAATAATAATAATATTATAAGAAAAACAATTTTAAAGTTCCTTGTTCAATAATTGGAAATGAATATAAACCTTTACTCTACTCTTCAAAAAAGGCCCTATCAGATAGACATAAGTCTATCATTTTGTAATAAAACTAAAATGTAAGACCTAAAAGTGGGAAGGTACTATTAAACAAAAAAATCTAATGTAGTGCAGCTAGTTTTAATCTCATTTGCTTTCTCTCTTTTTGTTTGTATTATGCAGGTTGTCCCATGCAGAAGGTTTGATACCCAGGCTTCTTTCTATCCACTCTCATCTTGAGAACTCTTGAGATCTCTACATCAGCACGCTACATCACAATGGAAAATACAAGAAAACCAGCAGTGTGACTGAGATGATCAGCACATTTTAGAGGCATACCTTATCTACAAGGCACTCTGCATGTAGACTGGGAATTGTGCACAAGGTAGTCAATGGTCTCTCTGCCTTTCGCTTGAAAGCCCTATTTTCCTTCACATATCACAAACTTGGGAGAACCAAGCCAGAAGCGACATAGATCCGTTTGTATTTGCCCAACGCTCCGTCCCAAAGTTTAATAATGGAACTGGCTTCCAGCAAATGTATGCCGACAGTCCTGCCAGGTCGAACTGCAAGGGACTACTCCTGAGGCATCTAATGCCCTTATCCCATTTAAAAAATATCATCTGTCTTCCTCACACCCCTTCACTAGTTCATCTTCGTGATAAGCTGTATAGCCCTTTGAATAAAAGTATTTGTTGTTTTAATGTGTGTACATGTAAGATACAGGTAGCTTTTTGATATTTAATCAAAATTCAAATTCTGACCAATTTATTGGGGATGCTGAACTGGATATTAAATTCAAGGTGGGGGAAATAAAATGATGTAGGAATAGTACAATAGTAGTACTCTAATACTATTAGTAATAATTAGAGGATAAAAATAATGATAGTAATAATGATGACAATGAACAAAAATGTCCAATGTAAAAGAAAATGTACTTGTACCAACCGCCCAAGGGAAACACAAAAAGTGGTCTATGTAGACAGGCTCGTTTAGTACATGTTTCAATGAGAAACCATTTTCAAGGGAAACGAAACAAATGTGGTCTTTGTAGACAGGTGGTCACTAAAGCAGGTTTGACAATATATACCCATGCTTTACATGTTGATAATTGAATAAATCATATGGATTTTATTTTAATATAAAAATTTTCTAAATCTATAGTAGAATTATATATCTGAACAATTTTAAGTTCAAGAGACGACAGCCACCCCTCCCCCGTTCATTTGTTACCTTTCTTTAGTTCAGGTTAAAGATCATTATAGAAAAATTTATGTTCATAAATGTTAATAAAATTAGTTAATACTGCTTAATTCTTTTCTTTTCATTTTCTTATTTTTTGGAAGTTATGTGATGATGCTGGTGATTATAATCATCTTTCCTAATGAGAGAAAAAGCGGAAATGTAACAAGAGAGTGGGCAAGACTTAAGTATAAATGCAATATAAAAAATGGTTTACAATAGAGATGGGGGGTGGGGGGGGGGGGTTAAATAAAGAATAAGTCAATGCCAAAATGACAGCATAGGTAATGGTGGTGGGGATGGAGGAGGGAGGGTAATAGAGCCTAGTGAAATGTCAATATTGGAAGAGGTCCTGTATTGAAAATGTAACTGTAGGGGGGGGGGGGCGCGGGGTGGCAAATTATTAAACAAATCAGTGGCGACGAATGCAAGAATGAAAAGAACGAGGCAAAATTGAAATTTCATTGGGGATGGGGCACAATATGAAAGATCATTGAAGGCGAGGCGAGAATGATTCATTATTTGGGCACTAGAAATATGAAAATATCATTTAAGTAAATAAACGAACAAAATAAAACACACAAAAAAGAGGTAAAAATGAATTGAGGTACCACGGTGAAATGGGGTCATCATTTTTGCTTTTTAACTGAACTTAATTTTTGTCAATGTACTTTCCATTCTGGTGACAGTGAAGTTTGTGGCCTTAAGTCACAACCATTTGAAAGTTATTACCCCCCCCCCTACCTCCCCGACTCTGACCTTTGTTCTACATTTATCGGCCCAATTAGGATTATGTCGATATAGTAACGCATGCGCATTGTCTTTTTTTATTGCGATTATATGCTAATACACCAGTTTACAGTTGTATCAGTGCGCATGAGCAGACAGAGGTCAGAGGTTATTGGCCCCAAAATTGGGGCCAATAACCTCTGACCTCTGGTATTTATGCGTAAATTAAGATTGCGCCCATGCAAATGATGATATGCGCGCACAACGCAGCGCGCAGGCAGTGATATCATCATAATTTGCATGGGCGCAATCTTAATTTACGCATAAAAACATGACCTCTAGGTCATTGGCTTTGTTTAAAATGGCGCACACAACTGTAAACTGGTGTATAAGTGGAAAAGAGCTCATGAATATTCCAAATTTTAATTTAAATATTTTGCGCGCTGCGCGCAGTCCAAAATCCCCATTTCGCTGGTGCACTAAAAAGTTGTCGTCTTCATAGGCTAATACACGATAAGTGGAAGCAGTGTGCACTTTTGACCCTCCAAAATTTCCCCATGGCTAGACGGATGCAGAAGCGGAGTTGAACCCCCCTGGTAATAACAGATATAGGTATTATTCCCAGTCGCACAGACAAAAAGTAAGGATTGTCTGAGGCAGGACCTGAACAGCGACTTTCACAATTGCTGCAGCACGTACTAAAATGGCACATTAATCCTGTTAATGCTTTTTTTTAATATGAGGAATTTAAAAAAATCTTTAGATTAATCATCATGGAACAAGACTCTCAGATCAGGAAATCTTAGTTCCCAGCTCTAATAAAAAAAAAACTGCCTCTCACCTCTACCCCCCCCCCCCCCCCCACCCACTTCTCTCTCTCTGTAGCTCTCTCTTTATAAGGGAATCTTAAACACCTTTTCCCTTATCATACTGTTGTTATTGTTTCCTACTTTTTTTTTTTTTTTTCTTCTATTATCCTCACCACTTATGCGAGTTAATCTTCCTCCTTTAACTTTCCGATATGATTATGATCATTCGGGAAAAAATCAACTGAAGTTATGTTCCATTTTGGGAACTCTAAACATAATGCCAAATCATTAGACCATATGCCATTATATTTATCATTATGTACTACTACCAGGGAGTAACGTCTCTGCTACTACTAATACATCCCCAGGTGGGTGTTACACAAAGATTTTAAATCGAACTTAACTCTAAGTTGGACTTAAAAGTTATGGAGAGCCATTTGTAGCATTCAAATTAAATATATTCAAAAGCGAACATTTAAGTATTTTAGACTTTTTATAAATTCCCCATCAAAAACATGAAATCTCCCATGATAATATAAAATTTTAATGATTTGAATCAACATTTTATGCTTTTTTAAAATAACTTTGACAAAATATTTTCAAGATGCTAACGGCTTTTCAAAATTGTGAAGTCCAACTTAGGGATAAGTTCAACTTAGGATCTTTGTGAAACACCCCCAGATCTCACAATGACGATTAAAACCAAATTACATGTACTTGCACACATGAGCAGCAAGATAGGAAGCCGGTAAAGTGATGCAATTTGCAACATGAAAATGATACCATCTTCCTTTCCTCGGTCACCGTCGATTTGCGTTCATATGGATAATGACTTCATCACAGGTGTGAGGATCAGATAGATGACTAATACTAATTAGGGTGTGTTTACACTATTCATATTCCTGGACACTGTTCATATTATCCCCCTGGTTATTTCATTTTCGCTTGTTTTGCAAACCGGCGTAGATGCTATGATGTTATGAAAAAAGATATAAAAAGAAAGAAAGAAATGTTTAGGGGCGTCTACTTTGATTTTGGAAAAGGAAGAGGATGCAATCTTGTTTTAGCTTCTCTGCTTGACTATATTTAATTTTCAAAACAGTTTGGCAAATATCCCAGTTTAGGTGAATGACGGATTGGCACTTTACACGGCCCGAGTCTAATTGGACAAAGTCGGATGTTAATTTTCAAGTTTTAAATTGATCTTTCTTTACTGAAAGATGATGTCTTGTTTACTAATGTCAGCAGATGGCATTGTAAATGAGCCTAATTATGTAAAGGTCACACTGGTTACATTAAGGGTGTCAAAAAACAGGCATTATACATGTAGGCATCTTTTTCCATCATAATTTCACATCTACATGTACGTCTCTCTCATGATGCCCCCTCTCCTCAATACATCATCATGAAACTATAAGATCATCAAGGACATTCAGAAATAAATTTAATGAAAATAATGCACAAGAAAATTGACATTAGGGATAGGGTTCATCCATTACCCCCTTTTCAATTTTCTGTTCTAGATAGATAGATAAGTAGATTGATTTATAGAAACAGATAGGAGGGTAAATGGATAGATCGCTTATATACATAATGTATATAAATAGATGGGTAAATGAGTGCATTGATAGATAAATATATTAGATGCACAGTGTATATATGGATAATTATATAGATAGGTAGATAGATAAATGAATAAATGAATAGATATGTGGGCAGGTAGTTAGACAGACAAGATACTTGGATAGATGGATGAATATAGACAGACAGATATATATAATTAAAGAACCGTTTAGTCACACATGTTAAAGTAACATGTGTTCTATTCGGTCACAAGCGACTTCCTTCCGCTGTATGCACGGAACATGACGTGTTTAACAAGTTGTTAAAAGACGTGCCAATTTTGTATCAAATTCACTTTCATAGGCCTTGAACACAATTCATTCAAGGAATTAGCTATTGAATTCACCTTAACTTATATTGAACAAGAATAACAAATACAAATAAGGCACAATGTACATTTCAATATGAAGCGCTTTTTTGATAGAAAATCGGTCTCTTCGGAGCTGATGTTTTAGAGGGTGTCCCGTCGCTAAACATTTTTTCCTCAAATTATATGGGAAGAAAATTTAAGACAACGTACTCGCCATGCTCGTACGTATATGCAGTACGGATAAACGTTGTTCTGGTTTAATTTCGTCAAGCTCTATAATAAACGCACGAATATTGTAATGAGCTTTTAATACCACACCTTAATACCCCCCCCCCCTTAACCCTCTTAAAATCAAGTAAGAAATTAAAGCACGACCTTATCAAAATAATTATTATACTAAATTTGGACAGTGTCAATGTTCCATGTTGAAAGCTGATTTCATCTAAGTAATTTTCATCATGGGTGGGAAATCTGGTGTTGAATTGATATCTGCGATGATTTGAAGCGGCGGCCCATGATATTCGTTTAGGATCTTCGAGCATAGACAGTGTCACATTGGGCGAAACATTGCGATTATCAGATAATGTAAACGCTCTGTCTATGTTGAAAGCTGTTCCATCTAAGTAATTTTGATCGTATATGGGAAGTCTTGTGTTGAAGGGATATCTGCGATGATTTCAAGCGGCAGCCCATCAGGTATTCGTTTAGGATCTTCGAGCGGAGACAGTAAATAGTATCGGGCGAAACATTGCTACATGTATTTTTTCAGATAGTGTAAACGCTCTGTCTATGTTGAAAGCTGTTTCCATCTACTTCCATCGTATATGGGAAGTCTTGTGTTGGGTGGATATCTGCGATGATTTGAAGCGGTAGTCCCTCATATTCGCTTAGGATCTT